AAAATATATTTTAAAAATAGGAATAAACAATTACATATTTTTACACAGAAGTTTAGAAATCTAACCATATTCAGCATTTTAGCTGGACAGTCCTTCAACACCCTTTTCCTGTCTCCTGCCTTCATTCACCACCCCCTTCCTTTTTAAACAAACATCTACCCGAGAAACAGCATGGCAGCAACCGGCGTGTCATGATAAAGCAGCATGTATTCAGAAGACCAAAATGACAGACATTCCAAGCATGACCCTACTATTACACATTGCCATCTTCAGTGCAGTTGTTTAGTTCATAGGTATCAGCATATATAGTTAATCAGGGTGAGAATCCTACCAATCAACTGCTAGCTTGGAAAACCTTCTGAAGATTCTCAAGATCATTGCCTTACCCATCCTGTAATATAAATGTCTGGCTTTGCCCCTGTCATGTTTCCTAGCTTTTTTCCTTGCTCTCTCTTCATTCTCTAATCCTCAAGTTCTCACTTTCCTTTTAATTGTGTTATACTTTTCTATTTATATTTCTTCTTTGGAGTTCTTATACTAGGGAAACTATACGATATTTACACATGTGTGTCTGGTTTATTTCACTTATTAGTATATCTTCAAGTGGCATCCACTTCAATATGAAGGCTTTGAGTTTATCATTCTTTATAGCTGAGTAATACCCCATTGTATAAAAATATATCTTTTTCATCCATTCCTCAGGTGATGGGCATCTTGGTTGTTTCCAAGATTTGGGTATCACAAATTGTGTTGCTATAAGCATAGGTACACATATATCACTATGATATGACGTTTTCAGTTCCTCTGGGAAAATTCCCAGTAGGGAGATAGCTGGCTTGAATGAAATTTCCAGTCCTAGCTTTTTAAGGAGTCTCCACACTGATATCCGTAATAGCTGTACCAGTCTACACTCCCACCAGCAGTGGAGAAGGGTTCCTTTTTCCCCACAGCATCTCCAATATTTGTTGTTGCGTGATTTCTTTATGATAGCCATTCTTTCTAGGGTGAGATGATATCTCAGTATTGTTTTAATTTGCATTTCACGAATGGCTAGCGATGTGGAGCACTTTTTCATATATTTATTCGCTTCTTTAATTTCATCCTCTGAGAAGTATGTGTTCATCTCGGATGCCCATTTCTGGATTGGGTCTTTAAATTTTGGGGCCCTAGTGTTTTTTAGTTCTTTATAGATTCTAGAGAGCAGACCTTTGTCTAAGTACTTATTTGTCATTTTTTCCAAATTTGTGGGTTGCCTTTTCACTTTGTTGGTAATTTCTTTTGACGTGAAAAAACTTCTCAATAAGAGCAGGTCCCAGTTGTTCATTCTTTCAAGTGTTACCCCTGCGATTTGATTTCTTTTTTAAAAACTTTATTTATTTATTTATGTGTGTGTGTGTGTGGCCAGCTCAGCCCACCAGGGGGCGGGGCTGGCTGGCATGTGGTGCTGGGGGATTGAACCGCGGTCTCTGTGCTTTGCTAAGCTTGTTCTAAGTAGGTGCTTTAGACCACTGAGCCATCTCACCAGCCCCGCGATTTGATTTCTGTTCATGAACTCTTTGCCTACCCCTATGTCTTCAAGAGAATATTCCCATGTTTTAAGAAAGCTATACGTTAATGATTCCCTCTGAATGGGAAAGACTCTTTTTGAAACAAAAAGTCAATCTCCCTCTAATTTTTATAACTAAAATTAGATGCCGGTTGTGATTTTTGTGTAATGTTTTCACCTGAAAACGATATTCAGCTCAGAGTGTTTTTGAGAAAAACACATTTGATGACATTAATATTTGCAGTAGTGAACATTAGGTTCTCATCATGAAATTGCTGTCAAAGTAGATAGAATTTTGTGCAGTTGGCAGTCTGGCATAAAAGCAAAATCCAAGACTGGAATAGCAAGAATTTAGAGGTCAAGACAGAAGGGCATCTGGCAGAAGTAGTCATAAGGATGTTTGCCAGGTACACTTTACCCAAAGCAGCTCACATTGCAGTGAGGCTCAATGTTTTTGTCGCTTTGCAGAATGACTTTCAAACAGTAGTCCTATGCAAAGGAGCTAGGAAGAATTGGAAACACATGGAAAATACAAGTATTAACACTAATTGATAAGTTTCAAATCATTCATAATATTAAAATTTTCTGGTTCTCTCTCTCTCTCTCTCTCTCTCTCTCTCTCTCTCTCTCTCTCTCTCTCTCTCTCAGCTGGGGATTGAACTCAGGCCCTTGTGCTTGCCGGGCAAGCACTTATTCAACTGAGCTGTCTCCCCAGCCCCAAGATGGAAAAATTTCAAAGCTAAAAGTGTCTGTAGGTAGTCTTTAGGTAGCCCAGCCCTTTCAATTTATAAATGAGGAAACTGAGGCCCAGGCCACTTACTGAGTTGGAGGGAGAGCCAGCCTTCATGTGTTTGGGTCCTTTTGTTGTTGAGCAAGCATTATTCGATCTGAGTTCTTTCTGCCAGAGTACATAATGTGCCTTGATTCTAAATGTTGCTTTTCAGGATCTGGGAGACGTGCTGAAAGATATGGATGATCAAGGAAAACAGTGGAAAGAAAATACGTTTGTGCCTCATGTTAATGGAAAGGATATCATAGAAGAGGATTTCCAGGCTGAATCTTCTTCTGAACAGATAGCTGTGGAGAAGACTAAGAAAATGGAAGGAAACCATAATTTCTCTGGTAGCAAGTTTCAACAAGAAAAGGAATCTAAGGAGAAAGAATATATTTCCCAACTAAATCAAAGAGAGAATGAACCAAATTTAAGAGAAAAAGCGAGTAACATGTCCAAGAATGAAGCAGTCACAAATTCTGCCTCTTGTTCATCATATAATTTGGATGCTGTGAGCAAAGAAAACTTTAACAGAGCTGGACGTCTATCTCCCTGGCGCAAAGAAGAATTCCCAACTTTATCACGACACAGTACAAAAAAGAAATTGACCAAAGGAATATCGCCCAAACTTAACCTGTACCTTTTGAATGAAGCACTGGAGGAACTCAATATAAAATGCAGAAAAATAGAAGAAGATTTTGAAAATTCTGAGAAAGAACTTTTGAATTCCAAAAAAGAAGGCTCTACAAAATCACTAAATTTTCAAGAGACAGAGACAGACACTCTGTCAGAGGAGTTGGCAATTCAAGCTTTAAAAGATGAACTATCTGAAAAAGAAACGGATGTGAAAAACTTGACTGAAGAGCTCCAACAAGCCAATGAACTCATCCACAAGTTGAATCTAGAGAATCGATGTTTAAAACAAGCACTTAAGAAGCTACAATGTCAGAATGAACTAGGAAATGCACTCCTGCAAGAAGAAATGCAATTTTGCTATGAATTAGAGGTGGAAAAGCTTCACGGTGAGCTGAATGTCATCAAGAATGAACTGAAAGTTGAGAAGACCCTGCAGGCGAGAAATAACAGTGCCCTCGACTGGCTTACTTCCGTGCTCAAGTCATCAAGTACCTTTGACCACTTTTCTGGGGAACTTTAAATTGAATAAAGCCTTTCATTAGGCAAGCTATTGAGCCAAACCAATGTTTATTGTACTGCTTTGTGTGTTACTCAAAATGTAATAGAATATAATTTTCACTTTCGCTGAATCAGAGTATCTGTAAAACATATAGATGTTAACTTCAAAGCTTATTTCTAATGAAGTCATTGAGAGGTTCCAAATGGAAATGAAGCTTCAGAAATCTTTTTTATATACACATAAAAATATGTACGTATGTTTCACTCAAAAACACACAGTCATTTGCTAGAACATTTATGAATACAAATCAACAATTATTTCATGATCTTGTGAGCAATATGTTCTTGCCACATGAATATTTCTCATCTGTGTTCATTGATATTAACAATAAAAGTCCCGTTTAGGTGGGTAAGCACAGCATATATCTGTGAGTCTTGTAGCTCCCTGTTCTACATCAATCGGATACCAAACTTGTAACTGCTTTCTTTGGGGTCTAACCTTACATAGACACATGTAAATACTTCATAACAAACGCTGGGTTTTTTCTCCCCCCTGTTGTTTTCTCCTTTGTCCTGGGCACTGTTCCCATAGACTAGAAGAGGACTGCAAGAGATTGCTCTGACTTTGTTAAGAGCTCTGCTTTTGTAGTTTCTCGTGTTGACCAGCAAGGGGCGCTGTTGACAAAGGTCTTCCAAAATTAAACCAGGGGAAAATTCTTGAGTTCTTTTCCTGACTTGTATCATCAGGCTAAGATTGTAGTAAAAGGTTTTGGATGTCGTGTAGGTAAACTTCTGCTGAGCTGGCTTGATTTATATGATCACATGTCACTGTAAGGGACTGAGGCAAAGACAAATTGCTTTATACTTAGAGTAGGAATGTACTGCCTCCATCCTAGGGTAGAAGTGATGGTACCAGTGATTCTTTGTATTCCTTTGCATCAATCTTCAAGATTTCTTATAATCAGAGTTCTATGTGCATGGTATTTTAAAGCTCAATTAACAAATGTAATTGCAGAGTACACAACTATCTGGTTTCAGGTACCTTCCCTGATGAGAAGATTCCCAGACTGGGAACCAGGACACTTGCATTCTAGTACCCGATCTCCATTAACTAGTTAATTAACCTTCCAGCCTTAGAAGCCCTCATCTGTAAACAGAGGGAACAGAACTTCACTCAAGATTCTGTTTAGAGCTAAGTGTGGTCACACACACCTGTAGTGCCAGATCCTTAGACGGTTGAGATGGGAGGCTTGCTTGAGTCCTGGAGTTAGGGGTCTGGCTGGGTAATATAGCAAAGTAAACATTCTAGGATCCAGGGATGTATCTCAGCAGCACAGTGCCTGCCTGGCAAGTGCTAGGTCCTGAATTTGATTCCCAGTACAAAATGTTTTTAAAAAGTAAACATCCTGTTGAATTTTAATCCACTGTTATTTCAATTCAGTGAGTTTATGTGCAATTATAACTGTACCCGTAATGAAGTAAAATTCTTGTGACTTCAGGTACATTCGCTTCTAATATTTTAGGGGGTCTACTTTGCAGATCTGTCTTTCAAGGAAATATAAGCAGGGTCTTTTGATAGTTTTGATATCTCCAAATACTGTGTGAACAATAAATCAGCAGAGTGAGTAAACAGGGTTACTTCTCCTTACTCATCAGATTAGGGAAGGCACTGAAAGAAGATAAGCTAAGCTGACCTGCAGGCTGAGCAGTACTTGCAGGGGCAGCTGAGACTGAGCTCCATTGGAAGGGGGTGCTCTTTAGAGTTTTCTGGTTTAGTTCTCATAAACCTAATGCCAGCCCTGGCACTCTGCCTCAAAGGGAGAAATGATTTGCAAGTTTTTGGTGATTGCGGGCTTCTCTAAAGGGTCTAGGCACAAGAGCAAAGTTGGGACTCTTTGCCCTGTTTGATTCATTACCATCCTTTAACCATCCCTGAAGTGGAGCCTGTGTCCTTGCCCCATAAAGACTCATTCCCTAAATGCTACCTAGAAGCTTAAAAATAGTTCATGTTGTATTAAGCACCGGGCTATAATTCTATTATGAAAGAAGTACTTTCACTCCAGGAGAATTTCTGTTCACCAGATATGTGTTTAGGATTTCCTGTGACAGTTTGGTTATCTTTCCCAGTATGTTGTGTACTTGGGGAACAAGGAAGAAATGTATGGAGGGATGTCTAGAGAGGACAAGTCCACAGCAAGCCCAGATTCAGGATGGGGTACTGTATTTTTAAGATGGAACTAGAATACAGATTCTTGATGAAATGGCCTGGGATACTGATACCCAGCAAGGCTTGCCTAAATGAAGGAGCCTATGGGAAGCCATGGTCCGGACACAGAGCAGGGAGATGACATGCAGTTACCAGTTTTACAAGGCCAAGGATAAAGAGAAGCCAAGGTCACTGCAGCAATACACAGTGGAGCAGGGTTCACACTAAAATCAATGCAGGGCTGGAGTAGTCTGGGATCAAGTGAGGAAGTTAGTGCTCCTCTCCTTGCACAGATGAGAAGAGTGGTAGCCATCGAACCAGCTTGAAGAACCAGAGTCCACTGGCTCTACAAGTGCTCTCATTTGGTGCCTTTGGGAGGCAAAATTGCTCTCCCAATTTTGATCAGAATGTATTGTCATTGCACCTTCTGTTTTAATTACTTTTCTCTCATTGCTGATACAGAATACCCAATACCACCCACAGTTAAGAGAGGAAGGGTTTATTTAGCTTGCAGCATGTAGAGATTTCAGTCCATAATCAGCTGGCTCCATAAAAGGGTGGGACATGGCAGAGGGGCAGGAGTTGATGGTACAGAAAGGCAGCAGAAGCAAAGAGGGAGGGACCTTAGCAACATCTTCTTGCCCCTTTTATCTTATCCAGCCTTCTGGGATTAGGGTAGTGTGAAGCCAATCATTGGAGTGGTTTAGTAATCACACACCCTTAGTCTCCACAACACACTAGATTCAGCCACCTCCGCAATGAGGTGACCACATGAGGCTTGGGGGGGGGAGCGTCTAAATACAAACCATAGCATCCTTCAGTACTGAACGAGACATATGGAGGTGCTTTATTTTTTAATGTGGGTGGCATTTGACACCACTTCTCCCCTTAAATTATCTGCTGGATACAGTATTTGAAGTCAGCAGCATAAACACACATTATTCATTCTCAACTTCCAACTCCTTCCTTAAGAGTTTCGGGCTGCTAGAGAGCTCTAGCAATAGCTGCTGCACCTTGGCTTGTCATTTGATAAATATTTGCCGAGCACTTATTATCACAGTTCATTCGTTCTATTAAATGTCTTTTAAAAATATTTTGGGTATTCCTCAATGTGGGATATATCTTAAAATTAACAGTTCATCATCGTATACTTGTCTGTGTTTTTTTCTTAGAGGTTTATGAAATCATATAATAGTGTATCTTACAATGAATGCTTTCACTTTTTTTGGAGACAAAGTCTTGGCACATAATTCAGGCTGGCATCAAACTTGTGTTAATCCTCCTGCCTCAGCCTCCTGAGTGCTGGAATTACAGGCATGCACCACTGCACCCAGCTAATCAGTCCAGCTTTAAATTTGGTAAAATATGTCATGCTAGGCTGGAGGCATGGGAATAAAATGATTTATGAATAAGACAGGACTCTGATCTCTAGGACCTTACTTTAGCAATTAACTAAATAATGTGGTGAGAGTTATGCTAACAATACTAATATAAGTGTTGTGGAAGCATGGAGGAGGCCAATTAATTCAGCCTGTAGGGCTGAGAACGCCTTCATAAAAGAGGTGACATTTGAGCTGGAAGAAGAAGAAGAAGAAGAAGAAGAAGAAGAAGAAGAAGAAGAAGAAGAAGAAGAAGAAGAAGAAGAAGAAGAAGAAGAAGAAGAAAAGGAGGA